GGGCGGCAGGGGCCGGGAAAGGGCTGTCCTGGTGTGGCGTGCGCACTCTCACGCCGGGGGGGGGCGGGGCGCGCCCGACATGGCTGCGCGCCGCGGGCCGGCGCGTCGGTGGGAGTGTGTGGGGAAAACCGCCGGTGCGGGGCGGGCGCCGGGACATCCGGGCCGGGATTCGGGAGAACGGGAGCGACAAATTCACGCCCAGGTGCTCGGGCGCCGCTTTGGGGGAGGGTGCGGGGGCGCGAGGCGGGGGGGGGGGGGGGGGGGGGGCCTCCGTCCGCCAGCCATCGGCGTTGAACGCGTTAGATCGGCCCCAGCGGGCATGCCCCACCTGTATCGCCCCCGCTCCGACCGCCGTTTCCTCGGTGTCGCTCCCCTTCCGGCCCTCGGCGTCCTGTGTCCGGCTGGCACCGAGGGGCCGCTGGAGTTGTGGGCCCCCGGGGCATCCGGCCCGGCGGGGGCGCACAGGCGCTCTCCGTCCCATTTGTCTTTCTTTCGCTCTGTCCCTCCCCCCGCCGCACGCATCCACACGGGTCCTTCTCCACACACATGCATGCTCTTAAAAATACGCAGCCGCCCTTCCCCGCCCCCCCCCCCCGGCCAGCGGAGTTTCGGACACGCTCAACCTCGCTGAAAATGGCCACACCGATGTCCCATATTTCGACGATCGTGAATCACGTCGCGGGTCATGCGAGGCCCCGGCCGCGGCACATGATCACACACGACGATCGTCTGAGGTCGCGGACGCCATTGCGTGAGTGGTGCCAACGCAGGGCGGGTCGAGTGCGGGCGGGGGTCTATTTTTCGGTCGGGGCCGCCTCGCAGGCCACAAGAGGGGGAGGGGGGGAGGGGGGGGAGGGGGCGCGCTGAAGAGGCCGGGAGGGACGGGGAGGGACGGGGAGGGGCGAGATGTGGCGGGACGGCATCTCGGCTCCGGGTCGCCGGGCCTCGTTCGCTGTCTTTTGCGCGGGCTGGCCAGACGCCCTTCAAGGGCGGCGTGACTAGGAGGAGGCAGGAGCGGCGGCGGCGGCAGCGGGGGCGGCCGGCTGGATGGTGGCCGAGGCCGGGGCCGGGACCGGCTGGACCTTGCCGGTGGGCCCGGCAGCCGGCTCAACATCGGTCGGCGGGGTGTAGGACTGGATGTGCTCCCAGATGCCGGTGGCCATCTCCTCGGCGGGGGTGTTCTGGCCGTAGAAGTCGACAAAGCGACCGGCCGGGTCCAGCAGGTAGACGAAGATCGAGTGGTCCACCAGGTAATCCTCGCCGCCCAGCGACTGGGGGATGGGCGAGAAGTAGACGCGGTAGGCGCGGGCCGCCTGGCCGAGGGCCTCGCGCGTGCCGGTGAGCCCGATGAAGTTCGGGTCGAAGTCTGCGGCGGAGCAGCGCGCGGGGGGGGGGGGGAGGGGGGGAGAGCCCGAGGGG